TTCATCACCAATCATTCCTCAGTGATGATCTAGCTGAGTCTGACACTTTAGTCTCCTACTTCCTTTGTCCTTTGTCCCTTTTCTTCATTGTATCCTGACCTCTCCTGCACAATCACACAACTGGTTTGTATTCCCTTAATCCTCCAACGGTCATCAACAATTGATATTTACACTTTACCTGTTGAAGAATGCAGTAATGTCTTACAAATAAGCCAGCAGATTAATTGGTTTCGATGTGTTAGTCGACTCAATTTAGCTTCGTTTTCCTTCTCTTCCCTCGTCCTGAGAGAAAGCACAGCCCCCCGCAACTCGTCTCTATTTTTAGAAGGAAATACTCAGAGAACAAAGAAAGCAATGGGCAGGGGATTAAAAAGGCACACAAGAAAAAGAAGAGGTCAAACAGGTGGGGGGNGGGCTGTAGAGTGCTGCAGATAAAAAAAAAAATCAACACCATTCCATTCAGAAACAAACCTGAGCTTAATCAGACATCACTAACAGCTCTGAAAATGTCTGTTTGTATTTTCTGGTCCGAGGAAGCAGCTGTCGTACATTTAAAGGCTCCTTCCTCCAGTTGGCTGGACCCGTCTGAGGTGGGGGTCCGCTCTCTGGAGATGCCAGAGAGGTCTGATATTTGATTAACATGACACTGATTCATGACGGGGCTCAGAAGAGCACAGCCAGTATCAAAGTCTTCCTGGAAGCTCATCGATTCAGTTTTATCTACTTCAGAAGTACACAGAAGCTGTTGCACGAACACTTAATAACACTAAAGTAGATTAACAGTCAGGGGGGAAAGAAACTGGTTTTATGTATCAGGACCAAATAAAAAAAATATCTGGTCTTTGTCAGGTTCTACAAATCTAACTTTAAGTGCCAAAAATCACTCAAAGGTTTCCAACGTGTCATTATTTATTAAACAAAAATTGTAAAAATGAAAAAAAAAAAACTGTTAATTTCTGGTAAAACTATCAATATTTTAAAATATATGTGTCAGTATGCTGAAATAATGGATGAATGAAGTGCAAAATGTTTTAACTCACTTATAGATGAAACCAACAAGAAAAACATGCAGTCACATTGATATTAAATCATCTTTAATTCATCATTATTAGCTTAAATTAGATGAAATTTTTTTTTACAATTATTGAACAGATTTTCTGTTGTTTTTAAGATTTGCAGAAATTTTGAACTATTTAATTATTTTCTAGTAGCCTATTGTACAAAATCTTCAAGCCAGTTACGCTAATTCCATTTCCAGAGTTTCAGTCAAAACACAAACAAACAAACAAACAAACAAACAAACAAACAAACAAACAAACAAACAAACAAACAAACAAACAAACAAACAAAAACATGAAAAATCCCATCTTCCACCAAAAGAACAAGTCTGCATATTTTTGGACCCAGTTTTGTTTTCTGGTAAAGAAAATGGATCCACAGAATGCAGACCAGGGCCGGTCCTAGACAATTCGATGCCCTATAGGCAAGATTTTCAGGCGGTGCACCTCGTGCAATTTTCTAAAATTCTACTACTTACAAACCAAATTAAATAGTTTTGTTTCTTTTATGTATTTTTTTAAAATCTTTACAAACCAGGTTGTCCAATTAAAACAGTTAACAATATAACTGATCTGAAACAGAACACCAGAAGTTTACCTCATACCTGTCAACATCTGCTGACATCAACGAGGAACACCTGTTCATGTTAACCAGCAGCTGTGGATTGAAGCCGTTTTAGGGGGGGCAGGGGATTTAATCCCTTGGAATATTTGCAAAAGCTTTGCTCAAAACTCTGCATGTTCCAGCCACTTGAAAAGCATTTTACTAAATCCCTATTTTTAAAAAATAAACATCCATCCATCCATTATCTGTACCCTTTCAGGGTCACTGGTGCCCATATCCAGCAGTCACAGTGCGAGGGGCGGGGTACACCCTGGACAGGTCGCAAGTCCATCGCAGGGCCACACATAGAGACAAACGAGACCAACAACCATTCACTCTCTCACTCACACCTAGGGACAATTTAGAGTTATCAATTAACCTAACAGTCATGTTTTTGGTCTGTGGGAGGAAGCCGGAGTACCCGGAGAAAACCCACACATGCACGGAGAGAACATGCAAACTCTACCCAGGAAGGTGCCTGGACTTTTTTTTGTGTCAATTTCCTTGCTAGATCTTTTTATGTTATTTAATAAATAAATAAATAAATAAATAAATAAATAAATAAATAAATAAATAAATAACACGAGTTTTGTGTTATTTAAAAAAATAAACATAAAATCAGTATTTTATGAACACTAAAAATCAGACTTTAAACTGAACTTTATGAGATCAAAAGTGAAACTTCCTTTATTCTTATTTTGTTTTCTGTTTAAACACTGAGCAGTAGTTAGTCTCGACTGCATCATGTGAAACTTTTATCATGAAACATCCTCTGCATTATATAACACCTCATGTAGGAACAAAGCAGAACAAGTTACCTTCATTAACCTGAGGAACCAGGGATTATTCTACTAAATCAACTATACTCTGATAAAAAGTTACAAAATATTTCCCCCCCACAGATGGATGGTACCCTTAGCATTTGCCTATACTACCTTTGCCACGGTCCTAACCGTGGTCTAAGCTCAGATTGTCAGAGAGCCTTTTTTGAACAAATCTGACATAAAAAGGTCACCAGGCTGTATGACCTGACATCAAACTGTGAACAGAAATGGAGTGCATACTGCTTCCTAATGGGGGCATCTCAGGAGACCTATCAGTACCTGAGACACTCACACCTGACACAATTCAAGCTTTGACATTTGGTCAGAGTCTTTGTTTTTTTTCAAGAAACTGATTATAGCCGATGATTAATCTTAAGCAGGTGTGCAAAAAAGAGCTATTTTAACCCCAGAGTCATGGATGTCGAGGAGTGGACTGTGGTTAACAATCCTTCACAAGAACGGAAGCGTTACTGAAAACACTGAGGAGAGTACAGTCCATCAGTCCGTTTATCCAAAGCACCGTACCAATAACAGCAAATCGTACCCAAATGCATGTTGCTATGAGAATAAGAGGCTGCGTTTCCCTGGCAACTCCTCTGCAAATATCCCACCTTCCTCTTGTCTGCAGCCTCTCCCGATGAGGTTCGATGATGCAAGGGCAGCAGCAGCAGTGTTAATACTTACACCAGTCAGCCAGGGCTGGAGCAGTCACAGGAAGAGGAGATAAGGTCAAGTTTAAACTGAAATATGGAAATGAAGGAAGGGCCTTTTGGTTTCAGGCTCAACTGGTCTGATAGAGCGCTATTATTGCTGCTTTAAACTAAAACTAACAAGTTTCTGTTACACTTCAATCCATGAGAATTTTGAACTTAACTCCTTTAATACATCACTCTAGCAAGGAAATTAATTGTCAATAAAAAGCCAGCTTGTGGTAAATTTATTTAAAGCGATAACATCTGTGAATCCTTACTCTAGCTAAGGCTTTAAGCTAACTATGTTGGTTCTGTTCACTCTGTTTTTTTGTTTATTCTGCTCAGTTGTCTAAAGGTTTTCATTTTTTTTTTGGATAAAACCCATCTCAAAGCTAAAACCTCCCACATCTCTAGCTTTAATTCTGTTCTTGTATCGACTCAAGCTGTTCAACGCCTGAGTTTTAATACAAAACACTGACGTCTTCCTTCTCCACAGTGGATGACGACCTAACAACTACATCAGAGCTGGCCTTAGGTCTGTGGCTTCCTGTTTGTTTTAGCTCACATTTTAAACGTTAAACAGTTCATATCTAATAAAGTAGAGTTAGTATCTTACCTGCTGCAGATGGTTCTATAAACTAACTCATTTTGGAGAAATGGAGTTTAATTCTGACCAGACTGACAAACTAATGTCAAGTGAGGTGATGAGCGAAGTGAACTAGTGCTGCTTTACTTCAAGCTCCAAAACTTAAAACTAATTATTGCAAATGCTCTTCTATAAATCCTTATAAAGCTGTCAGTCACTCAGTTATTTACAGTTATGTTCACAGATAGCAGCAGCAGCAAGATGTAGCTCCTCTGATGCAGACTGAGACACTTCCAGCAGGAATATCTTCATGTTTCTGCAGTAATAACCATGAAAAGCAAAATAACGATGCTCTAAAGCAGGGCTGCCCAAACTTCTTCTCCGAGATGGACGAAATTAAAACCTATCTGAGGGCTGTGGGCCAAATGTAATGATATAATATAAAATATATAAAATAAAATTCCAATACTTTTTAAGTAAAGTCCTTTTATTTTTATGACGAAGCTAGTAGCCGGTGCGGTGGCCCATGATTTGTTTGTTTTTTTAACCCGTGCAGTTGGCGAAAGTTTGATATCGGGCAGCAAAGGCTCATGGGACATTTAACAAACTGATCAATTATGAATATTTGTTGTCTTAAACCGTTTGAAAATGTACATGTGTGTTTTAATGTAATGTAAATGTCTCTTGTAGTTTTATTTTATGTTTAAACTTAAAATAATTCAAAGATAAAGTCAGCATCATCAGTGAAGACTATCTTATAGTCAGTGGGTCGATCCATAGAGTAAGTAAGTGGAGTGTTTCTATACAAGATGACAGGAGATTAAATCAAATGGCTTAGTGGGCCTATTCTGGCCCATGAGCCCCACTTTGAGCACTTCTACTGAAAGGGTTTATAAAATAGTGTTTGCATAATGACTATGAAATGTTTGAGACAAGAGCAGTTTTCTGGTTTTGGTCAAATTGAGGCTAGTTGTTGGATCTTCTACAACAGGTCAACTATTCCTTTAAATATTGTGCCAAAACTTAATTTGTTAGTTCCTGACAGGTATTCCCAATATTATTTTTGAGATTTGACCAAAATGGCTACATCTTTGTCATTTCTTCAGATGATTTCAGTTTAAAGCTGGTTATTTGCATTCAAATAAATTAAACCCTTAAATTTTTGTTATGGGCCAATCGCTTTTCCACATTGTTGACTTTAATCTTGTATTCTTTGTGTCTTTGTGTTGTTGTCAGGTGTTGGGTGCTGATGTTGTAACCATCCTGAAGAGCCGACGAGCCCTGTTTGATGCAGTGAAGTGATCCAGCGGAATAAAACTCAAAGAAAAGAAGGTAGGAACAACAGATGGGCGACAGAATACACCTGAAGAAAGAAAGTAGGGGTCTCTGCAGTACATAGGGGCTGTGTGGGTGGAGTTTGTCCTAACCGTGATTGGCAGAGTTTGGAATATACGCAGGTGGAGGTTCTTGGGTGTGAGCAGATTATTGTGAACATGTACTATAATTTACTGACTTCAAATTTGGTGTGACTAGCACCTTCCTGTCTTGAGTTCCGACTAAAGTTAATATCTATATTTAAAGCTGATTTCTGGCCGTTTTGACCAAGCGACCTGTCCCCTCAGCTGCCCGGCGTTCATTCAATCGAATAGTTATGGCTTCTTCAAACCCCACCCAAAATAGTCAATCCAACCAATCATGCCTTTGAGAAACGCCTCCCACACACCAAGAACCTGCCATTTAGAGACTTCCCCCTTCTTGAAAAAAGGTCATCCATGAGAGAGACCATGTTGGATGGAACAGCAACAAGTATTTCAGTATAAATAACTGGTTTCTTTCAAACCTCTAAATAGTCATTTTGTTTTGGTCAAATTGAGATCGACTCAGAGGGCAGAAGGCGTTTAAAGAGGATTACTGGTGAGGTACAGAGGTCAGGTTGTGAGTAAATCCAGACAGTTTCTGGGCCGTAACAAGGAGAACCTTTCAGGCAGACTTGGCTCAGCAGCTTGGCTTCGAGTCCAGGTTTCAGGCCCATGTGGTCACCAATCTGTGTCTCTATTAGGACTCAAGGAGATCCCGTTTCTGGTCTCTCGTGCCGGACTACAGATGAGAGCTGTGTTTGCCAAGCAGTTGCATAACAGGAGCTCTTTGCTCCACTTTAACACACTGGGTGTGTGTGTTTGCATATAGAAGCTGCAACCAATCGCACCTCAAACACACTTCCTGATTCGCATAATGCCACAGCTCTGAGACAATCCCAACGTCCTCCTGCGACTTGAATGCAGATTGTGAATGAACGTACGTATCGTGATGTCTTTGCACCAGAGGGCCAAAAGCGAGACTGAGTGACGTCGTGATAAAGATGTGCTTTGACAAGATAAAGCCAAAAGGAGCTGGGAGAGCAGTGCTGAGTGGTGAAATGGAGAAGCGAGGCAGAAAGGAAAGCTGCAGGGGATATTTTTGAGGAACCCATTCTGACGTCAGAAACTAGAAGAGAAACAATTTCTTTTGTCCTGTAAACAAACAAAGCGAGATGCTCAAAAAGACAGAGGTGTAAAAAAGGTGCGTAGCAGCCACCTCAGCAGCACAGTATCACCGTCTGCAAACAGCAGCAAAACAACACAATGAGCAGCATGTAGACCGGAGCACGCAGGGAAAACCACAGTCCTCTAAATAGATGTCAGAAAAACAGAAGTGTGAAGTGGACAGACGTTACACACGCAGAGACACGGAGGGAGAAAGAGCAGAGCAGAAGTTCGGCTCGGCCTCCAGAGAAGCAGAAAGTGGCGTCACGGCGGGATTCTCAACCTGGGATTAACTCGCCGCAGAGATTTTTCACAAAGATCAGGAAGGGCGGCAGGAAACGAAGCCAGAGACGACAGGAGCACCAGACTCCAGGGTAAGAGTTCCACACTTTCCTCATTTTGACTTGAGGCTCATTTACGCTGTTTAAGCAGCTCGGCGTGCGCACAGGCTGGACGCCTCTTCCCTCCATCTTCAGCCGAGATGAGGCAGAAACTATCGCCAGGCCAACGGTATCCTGGCAACCATCATACGAGCTCTGCTGTCAGGATGGACCTCATGCTGCTCTCCTCTCACGTTTATGTGTGTGTGTGGCTCCAGCACACACCGACACCACCGGGGCTTTGTTTTTATGATGCGTCAGAAGTTCATCGTACGAAGGCTCGCCCTCTCCTTTGTTATTCATGAAGCAGGTGTGTGTGTGTGTGTGTGTGTCTGTGCTGGGTTACAGAGGTGACTCAGCGTTTGATTTAGATGGACATTGGGTGAAAAAAAAGAAGTTGCTGCTCTGATTGGAAAGAAAGGAAGATACCAGGAAGTGCAGCTCCTGTACCTCACTGCTGCATCGCTGCACCCATTCTCCAACAAGTCAGAGCCTTGTTCTCTCGTGGTGGATCGGTCCGTGGCATGCCGTAAACATGCTGCTAATGGCTGTAAATCATTCCTGTTTGTGTGTGTGTGTGTGTGTAGGGGGCTCGGCCCCAGCTGTGTGCTAACATCCTCCCAGCATAAGGACAGCAGAGGAAGCAGTGTGGCAGATGTTGATCTTGTGTTTCTAAAGATCTGCTAGAATCAAAAGGAGAGGCAATAATAGGAAGAAGACTTTTATCTTCAAACAGCAGGAGGTCATATACAGGGTGTCAAACTATCCTGCATGTTTTCCTTGTTTCTCTGCTCAAACACACCTGATTCAGGCTGTCCAAACTCAGGGACCGTATCATTCTAAGGCTTGTTTTGAAGGCCGATTACATCACAGCTGCAGAATATTTATTCTGTTTACTACTGATTTTAATGCATCACACCTACTGTTTTATTTCTTGGTTAACTAGAATGTACATTATATTGCCAAAGGTTTTTGCTCACCCATCCAAATGACTGTGCACCAGTGCACAAAGCAAGGTCCATAAAGACATGGATGTTTTTGGAGTCTGGTGTGGATGAACTTGACTGGTCTGCACAGAGTCCTGACCTCGACCCAACAGAACACCTTTGGGATGAATTAGAGTGGAGACTGAGAGCCAGGCCTTCTGTCCAACATCAATATGTGACCTCATAAATGTGCTTCTGGAAGAATGGTCAAAAATCCCCATAAAGACACTCCTAAACCTTGTGGACAGCCTTCCCAGAAGAGCTGAAGCTGTTCTACCTACAAAGGGTGGACCAACATCATATTGAACTGTATGGATTAGGAATGAGGTGTCACTTAAGCTCATATGTGAGTCAAGGCAGGTGAGCCAATACTTTTGGCAAGATAGTGTATTTATATTACTACTTATTTTGCCTAATCATCTATTTTATGATGAAACTGTGATTGAGTTGAGGTACAGTCTGGTTTGAGTGACATGTTGGATCTCAGTTAGCACACATCCTAATTACTCTGACCACACAGTTTCTCATCAGGCTTCAGGATGTTTGAGGATCTGGTCATGTGTTAGCGAGACTACCCCCACCGGTGTAATGTTTTAGGGGTGGGATCAGGGTGGGAGTAATTGAACACACCATCTTTTCACAGTGATGTGCCGACGGCTGTCCAAATTCTAAGGTTCATCCAGCTGCGGTCCACAAATGTGTCCTTCTTTTCCCAGATTTAAGGGACGGGTCTGCTGGATGTATTGCCTCTAAGCTAATTTTGTTAATTTAGAATATAAATAGGTTAATGTTTTGCTAATTTTGATCTATTTTCAATCTTCATTGCGTCTGTTTAGCACCGTCGGGATTTTTATTTAACAGGACATAAACCAGAGTAAGGGTAGGAGTAAAGCTGAAGGCTGACAGCCACTTTCTTCAGGTCTTCCTGGTCAACAAAAGACCTGGTTCCCGTAGATCGGATAGGAGAGATCCTTTAAAGGACACAACCCCTGAATGTAGACAGCCTCAGGGATTCAGTTACCTCTTTAAATTCTGGAGATGCCTGTTAGTCATCCATTCTTGCAAATCAGGTGTGTTCGAGCAAGGATGCAAGGAAAACATGCAGGATAGCAGGCCTCAAGGACAGGAGCTTGACATCTGTGAAGGCTGTGGAGGATCTTGTTCTAAGTGATGGTGGTATGGAGCAGGAGATGGATTGACGAATCTGGGCCTCAGTAATGAATGTGTAGCTTCAGTCATTTTTGGTGACAAAAGAGTTGAGTTGAAAGGCAAAGCTCTCGATTCACTGGTCTGTCTATGTTCTAACTCTTGTGTCGTCATGAGGTTTGGGTCATTCGCAAAAGAACGAGATCCTGGATACAAGTGGCTGAAATATTGTAGGGTGGCCGGGCTCAGACTTTGAGCTCCACCAAGATGATGGAGCTCCTCACCTCACACATTCTCACTCCCGACTCGTCAATATATATTGACGCTTTTCCAAAGTTCCTTCTGCGTCTTATTTTGAAGCGTTGGGTGACCCCCTCGCGTCAGTCCTTGCTGCCCGCGGCTTTTCGGGGTTGCACCACCAGGGGTCTTTGAGTCGGGGGTCTGAGGTTAACATGAGGGATCAGGGTAAATGGTTAAGTTTAGGTACTGGGGTCAGGGATAGGATGTCTACAATGAATATTAGGTAAGTTTAGGCTTTGGAACATGTAGTTGACGTGAATTTCCTATATTTTCTAACAATGGTTAATTTTAGGTACCAGGGTCAGGGACAGGATGTCTAAAGTGAATAAAGGTAATTTTAGGCTTTGGGACGGTAGTTTTTGTGCATTTTCTACACTTTCAGAAATTATGACAACAGACTCCGCCGCATCTTGTCAAAAAATGATGCAAGGGGAGGACCCGACGCTTCAAAATCAGACGCAGAGGGAACTTTGGGAAAGCGTCAATATGTGACGACTCAGGAGTGAGAATGGGTTGCCTCACCTTACCTCTGAGTAGAGCAGCTGTCCCTCTGCAACAAAAGGAGTCAGTTGAGGTGGTTCTGTTAGGATGCCTCCTTTTGGAGGTTTTCTGGAAACTTTACCAGCTTTACATTTGCATCATCCAGTTTAGCATTGTGAAACTTTTGATATATGTTTGATATGAGTGGTTTCACACAGCTCTGGCATCTTCGAGGACATAAAAAGCATGTATAGACGAAAAAAAAGAAAACATTAGAGCGAAGAGGTCTGTACATAGTAGCAATGTTTTATTAGATCACTATAGTAACGTAAATGGATTAAAGGCACGGTCCAGCTCTGGTGTCTCCCATTGAGTGAGCTAAATGATTCAGTGCTGGATTTGGGCCCTGCTGTAATTGGATCCAGCATACGCTGCGTATCTGATTCAAACTGTGATCAGTGTCACTTATGACTGGAATGTCTGACTTGGCTCTGCCCAAACAGGAAGACAGGAGCGTAAAGCAGATGGGCTACACAACAATACAAAACAGTCACAAGCTGATGTGTTTCTTTCCGTCTACCTGTTGTGTATTTCTCATGCGTGCTGCCAGGTTCTGGTTCTGTGTGCATTTTACTGTTTCCTCCCGTCCAGGTCGCCAGCCATGGGGAACCTCATTAAGGTCCTTGGCAAGGATTTAGAGAACTGTCCACATTTTTTCCTGGACTTTGAAAGTAAGTGAGCGCCAGGGTGTGTGCGTTTGTGTGCATTGTGTTGTGAGTGTGAAGCTGAGGGGAGGTGGCGGGGTTGGGTCGAGGGGTGGGGTCACGGGGGGTGAGAGTTGCTGAGTTGTTGGTACGATGGAGCGATGTTGAGGGTGTGGTGTTGTCATTATCAAATGCTCTTTGGCCTCACTCTCTAACTCAGTGGTTCCCAAAGTTTTCAGCTCCCGACCCATAAAATAACAACAGGAAAAACTTGTGACCCCAACTATCGCTGGTTAAAATGTCCAACCACACACCTAGGGCGTTTATTGTCATCTCATAAATAGTGTACTATGGAAAATGAACCATTTAGATTAAAAAAAATAGTTAATAATATGTGTGGGGTAGGCTACCTTTAAACAGAAACACAAAAACAATGTTGCCGATTCATATCCTATTGACTCCAAAAATATCTGTACTTCTCACTAAGACACACAGCTGCTCAAAGTTGTCTCTTGCCTATGAGATCAATAAGGCATGGCCACACGATAATCTAATGCGTGGCTTTAAAATTATTATTTTTTAATCCAAATTCCCTGGATGGGGACAGGATAATTATTTAATCTTGAAAAATCGATAAATATTTCAAACTATTCTTTAAACGTTTACACTGCTGTGAAGTTTACATGGCTATTTGTCCAGAAATTATATGAAATTCCAGTAAACGTAATATGAAATTGATGGCAGTGTAACAACTCCAAAATACGATTTAACACAAAATTTTGGTGACTGAAGTAGTTTTAAGCCGACAGCCCATTTGGTCTCAGCTGCTTGGGACTAGCTGTTAGCTTTGCAAACTGAGGCTGCTCAATAAGCTATTTGCAACAGGTAAGATATTAATTATTCATACCTTTTCCAACATTCCTTCATGAGAGACAAACTTTAAATTCCACTTCCTTCATATATCTACAGATGTTTATCCACTTTATTAAAGCAGTTTTAAATAGACCAAGACATTGACGTTTCAAATGTATTGTTTTCTTGTGTGGAAACCCAATTATTTCTGTCGTGTTTGACGTTTAAACTTGACGTACGTCTGAAAACGGGAGCGAAGCTGAGAGTGGGGTTAAAGACGCCGTCGGACGTGTCAGTGTCGCCATGCTTCACCCGGGCCGCACTCCAACCATACCATTCCAACAACCGCGCTCTCATCCCATCTCCCACCCAAACCGCCCTCCTCCTCGTTGCACCACACACCCAAAGTTCACACACACACACACACACACACACACTCGTACACCCGTGTGCGCACAACCTGGACACCCATCCCCTCACCACCCACAGACTTCTCCCCTCTCTCTGTTCCAGGGGGCTCATGGGAAACCTCCTGAAAGTGCTGGCTTGCGCCGAACTTGAGCATGGCCCAATAGTTTTCCTTGACTTTGAACGTGAGACCATCAGCTTCTTTTTGTTTTTTAAGTTGTCCCTTTCTCTTTGTTGCCTCTCCTTTATTTAAATCACTCCATCCATATGAGCTGACCATCTTTACGTCCCGTTTTTCCTCTCCTCTGTTCTTTCTCTCTTCTTCTTTTTTTTACCCTTTTCTTTCCTGCCTGGGACTGACATTTGAAAGTCGTCTTTCTTAAGAATCCTACTCACACATGAGCCACGTTTCGTTAAATGCAGACAAACAAAAGCCCATTGACACGATTGCAAAGTGACAACAATAAGCTTTGAGTTGAGCACGTTAAGAAATGAACAGCAAACGTCAGTCCTGCGTGGGTTTCCTTTTTTTTCTTTTTTCGTTGCTAAGAGATGATGATGTCTAACAAGAAGTCTATCATCGTCCGCTCACATCATCATCCTCATCATCGTCATCACGCTGCTCCCTACGTTTGACCTCTGTGTGTGTTTTCCACTAAACAGTGTGAGTGAAACAGATAAAAGAAAAGGGGAAAAGAGAGAATGGCTGTGATAAAAAGATCTGTAAATATGATCACCTCTTCCTCCTTGCTTCCCCGTTTTGAACTTTGCAGTGGAAAAGAAATCCATCCTAACAAGTCTTTGTCAGTTTTATGAGCTCTTAAAGTGCCACACCAAAAAAAAAAAAAAAAACATTAGTTTTAGTGCTGAATTTCATTATTATTTATTTCAGACCAAATTCTGATCATCTCTTCTCAGTTATTTTTGTTTTATTGCCCTTAAATAATGAAATTCCACAGAACAGATTTTGGGATTGATCCTGAGACAAAACAAAAATGTTAAGATGTAGATATTTTGCACTGTATCCCTACGTTTCCTGTCACTTTCCCCCTCTAACAGCTGGCCTCCTCCTCCTGTGTTACTGTGGGAGTGGGAGAGCTCACTGCTGGCGTGAGACGTCAGGCTGGCAAATTCTTCCCCTTGTTTTATTACGAATGCAATTCACTCCGCTTCAAAAGCAAAAGCCAGTGAGTCAGATTGAACTCCTCCTCCTCTGTAGACACCTCTGTGTCATCAGTGAGCTCTCTCCCTCTCAGGTTTGGGTCACCTCTGTCACACAGATCCAGGTTTGAGTAGAGCTGCACTCACTATCCAGGAGAAGACAGTTAAATTATCCAACGTATAACACTAAACATCTGACCGGAACACAGATGTTGAAGCCAGAACAGGACCAGCTGCTTCCAGGAAAACTGTTAAGTCCCGCCCTCTCCATGTAATTAAATCGGTTATTAATAAAACATAAAAATATACATCAAATCAGTTTTTGCACCTGTTTAATTTCATTGATTCACAACATTCTTAACTTCCTGCTTTATGTTTAAAATGTATTTTTAAAACATTTTTAGCTGTAATTAAAACCACAAAAGCCCAACTGCACAGACTCTGGTTCCAAAACGAGGCTGACATCCTGGCAGCTTCTGGTAAACTGGATCCCGTTTTATTTCTCATGAATGAAAGAAGGCCCTTTCTTTAACAGTCAATGGATTCAATAAGAAAATTTGAAACTGAGTCGTTACACCCATGATAATCCTCTAACTGCAGTTTTAACATTTTTTGATGTAGACTTCTGTGGAAAGGTTATGAAAGGTTCATATTTTACATGTTCAGCTTGACTGAAAATAAGCTAATGGCTAATCCTAATTAAGCCAAGAAAAAAGGTATTTTTTCTGTCTTTAATCATCATCAGTCTGGATTTTTTTTATTAACTTTTTCATCCTTGCTAATTTGACATTTAGATTACATTAAATTATGATTATTTTAAGAGTAAATAACAGCCAGCAGCTAGCTTTTCTGTCAGGAATATTACATTATTTTTGGTGGGATTATTTTTTCCCTTTGTTTGATTGGAGTCATTTTAACCCACTTTGTTCTTGATCTCTCAGTCAACATTAAATTTTGTTTTTCCAAACTGAGGTTGTTCAAAGAGCAACAGGTAAGATATTAATTATTCATATTGTTTCCACAGAACTCCATCAACAGAACTAAACTAGGGTCAGATGTAAATTTGAAGCTGCACCACAATGATTAGTGAGAATTAACTGTTCATTTTTTTGCCAACCTTCACAGTTTGTTAATTTAGCTCAGATCTGCAGCCTTCAGGAAATAACATCTAAGCTAACAAAATATTTGCTGAAAAAGGGATGTCCAGATAAAGATTTAAATTGTGCAATAAGATGAAGAGGACAGTCTAACGCACTGCATTACCTCAAAAAAAAATCCCCTTTGACACCCGGAACAGTTGCTGTATTTTCAGCCTATACAGTGCTGCATGAGGCTGTGCTGTTTTATTTACATAAACATGAAGTAATTTTTCTTTTCTTATTTACAAGAAAAAAAATTGCATTAGCCATCATAATATTCTGCTGAAGTGGTGCATCTGAATCTGAAATAGGAAGGACCAAAAGAAAGAGAAGCAAAAAGATTTGCAGTAAGCAGAAACTGTGTTCTGCAATGGCTAAGAGTATTGTTTAACATAGTTAATACAGTTAGAAATAAATATTATAAAAAGCTCTAATGCAAAATGAAACGAGTTTAAAGTTTCTGAAAAATATTAATAATTAGTTCATCCATGGCTAAAACGTTTGGTTTTAGGGCTTTTATATTTTTCATGACTTTTAACTTTATTTATTAATATTTTTTTCAACTCCAAAAATATTTTTCATTTCATATCTGCTTCAGCCATAGCATTTTGATACTTTAAAAATGCATCTAGCTCTTGCTAATATTAGCTTTTTGCAGTTAATTTGCTATTTCTTGTTAGGCTATAGTGTTTAGCTTATTTTAGCTTTAGGTTACCATTTAACTATTCTTGCATTTTTTCTGCTTTTAGCTTGCATTTGGCTGATTTTAACTTATAGTTAGTCTTTTTAAAGGTCTGTAAGTTCAAACTGTTTGCAATTTACCATTTTAATTTTTAACTAGCCTTTTGCTTTTAGCTTTTCATTGACTTATTTTAGCTTTTAACTTGCCCCAGAACTTTTAGGCTATTCTTTTGCTGCAATTAGCTTAACTTTTAGTAATTTTAGCTTATAGCTAGTGTTTATTTTTTGGCTAGCCTTTTTCTACCTTTAGTTGACAACTAGCCTCTGCTTTTAGCTTTCTTTTCACTTTTTTGTAGCTTCAAGCTTGTTTTATTCTAGTAATTTGCTAACTGTAGCTATTACCAAGCTTTTTGCTGCTTTTAGCTTGCCTTTTACTAATTTTAGTATCTAGCTAGCCTTTTTATTTTTTTATTGCCTTTGGCTGGTTTTTGTTTCTAGCTAAACATTTGAGCATTTAATTTAGCATCTTGCTAAATTTAGCTTTTTTGCTACCATTTTTAAGCTTTAGATTTTAGGTAGGCTGTTTTATACATTGGCTAGCATTTTGTTGTTTTGCCTTTTTCTTTTTTAGCTATTAGCTACAGTTTTAATGTTTTGCTTCAGTTATTTATCTCTGAGCATTTTACACTGCATAGCACAGAAAGGTTTTTGTAAATATATTTTTGTAATTCTCCTGTAATTATTACCTCATTAGGATTCTGTGTTGTTTAGCAGAAGATTAAAGGAAGCTTTAATGAGACATTATAAAAATAGCAGAGGTTGTGGTTCTTAATAAGGCAGCTGGTTTTACACACAGGACAGCAAAATTCTCCCATGATTACTATTACTCTGACGAGAGGCGGCACCTCAGGGTGCAAAAATAATCAGCGGTGCTGCTGCAGATAAAGAGCTGCCTGGGAACACTCCCACACTCACTTCACACCTGAGTTACAGGAAAAGATGAGAAAACCACAATCGTGACTCAGGAGGACATGTTTTAGAAACGTGTTAATCAAACATTTAATCCCCCCAGAACGTATGCCGCATCAGCAAACAGAAGAAAATTGAGAGTGAGGATCATCGCAGCAAAACATTCATGTGGAACAAAATCAAAAATGTGGAGAAACTATGTTTTAATGATGACTTTTCGCTACAATCACATCAAAATTTAGCTCATAATCAGTCAAGCTATAGCTCCAAATATAAATTATATTACAGAGGGTAAAATAAGTATTGAACACGTCACCATTGTTCTCAGTAAATATATTACTAGAGGTGCTAATGACATGAAATTTTCACCAGATGTCGGTAACAACCCAAGTGATCCATACATACAAAGAAATCAAACCATAAATGTCCAGAAATGAAGTTATTTGTAATAATTGCTCAGGTGTGATTTTGGCCCATTCTTCCACACAAACAGTCTTCAAATCTTGAAGGTTTCGTGGACCTCTTCTATGAACTCTGATCTTTAGTTC